GCTTAAGAAACAGCTGCTTGACTACAAAACTTCAACTACTGGATACATTTCTCAGATTTTACCCTTGATTTATTTGCTATTGACTATAACAAAATCAGATTTCTGACTTTAAAACATGTTCACAGCTTTTTTATTTCAAGTAAAAAAAAAAGTAATTGCAATGACACTTGATGCATGTTCTGACGCAAGTGGGGGTTTACCCTTTTGCCACTTTGATAGTACTGTACAGACATTTAACACTCATTCAGTGCCAATTTATTCCTGTGTGATTCAGTACATTTCTTTGAGAACTGGATAACCAGTGCAGAAGTCTATCCAGGATCTGTCATCAGAACAAGTGTTACTTGTACTACTGTTTGCTAATAATTAAATTAGATTTGACTTCTACATTCACATCAATATTAACATCATTCAGAAAAAGGCAAGTATATTTGTTTTGTCAACAGTCAATTTAAAAAATGACTTTATGGGCTTTATTAACTGAAAGGAAGCAGGAGATGAATTTGCACTTGTTTTGTAGCAGTGCTGTCAGGTCATTGTTGGTACACGTTCCTTTTCCACCCTTCCCTAATGGTCATACCTTTCTGTTCTATTATGCTTGCAGCTAGTGCTCTGCGACACTGCAGAATCTGGTATTATTCTGATACCAAGTATCAGTGCCACTTTACAAATACTATGTGTTTTGAAAATTTGTTTTTGAAGACCTGGAATGTAAATGTAATGGTGTCTAAAACACTTGGGAGAACCTCTGTTATTTAAATGTGCTGTAGGGTATAAATTAGGGATGCACCGATACCGATACCAGTATCGGCCTCGATACCACATTTTCTAAAGTACTCGATAAAAGTCCCCCGATACCGAGGACCGATACCACGGTCTGAGACCTGTCTATGTTTGAGCGGCATGTAAGGGGTTAATCACAGGCACCGAGTGCCCGCCCCGGCTGCAGCTCAGAGCGGGGAGAAAGCGAGGCGAGACATATCAGCTGTGTGGAACTATTTCAAAGTGAACGAAGACGCGAAAACAAAGGTGGACTGCAAATTGTGCTCAGCGAAATTGTCCAGAGGAGGCTCTAAAGGTAG